TCGGTTCGGGCTGTGGCATATGATTTTACTGAAGAAGAATTCGTCAAATGAGAAGCTTCTGAAAATCGACTGTTCCAAATTTTTCTCAATAGGAACAAGGATTTCTACTTATAAACTTTATGAAATTACCTTCAAAGTACCAACAAGTTATTAAATAAAATTATGCATATATCACATTAGTCGTTTCATTCTAACTAAGCTAAAAGAAACCTATAATTGAGTACAAAACTAATGAATTTCTTTTTACTAGACCTTATATTTCATATATATGTAGACGTATGACGTAAACGCAAGGAACATTAGTTTAATAACTATCTGTAGCCTATTAGATAGGGAAGATAGCCAACTAAAAAGTTTTCTCCACTTGACATGCTGAATGCTATATCAAGGGATAATTTTCTAGGCCATCTCTCCATGATCGGTGTTTTTGATTGAGAAACTTTAAATTAAGCGTCCCTAAGCTCTACTAAGCTACACATAATAACCAACCTATACTTTGTATTAAATTTATTGATGATAAGCTAAAGATTTAATTTAAAAAAGAATCACCGAAATGTTAAGTTATTTTACTTACAAAGTAATGACAGTGACCCATTAAAAATTAAAAGATAAAAACAAGAAAAACCCTTAACTTTGGTTGCACCGAAGCTATAATATCCTTCACAAATACTACAAAAGATTCCTTAAAAGAACTTGATTTTGATCGGTCAGTTTGTATTGCAGCTATATGCTATGGTGATCCGATCTGCCCATTTCTTCGGAGATTGTACCTTTGTCTTAGGTAATAAGCCAGGCAAAATTTCATAAAAATATCTCGTCAAATGAAAAAGCTTTTCACACAAGCATTTTATTCCGATCGTTCAGTTCGTATGGGAGCTGTATGCTAGTGGTCCGATATCATGCAGACAAAGACGTGTGCAAAATTTCAGATCGATATATACAGACAGACAGACCGACATGGCCAAATCAACTTAGCTCGTAATGCTGATCTTATAAGGTATCCGACGTGTCCTTCTGGGTGTCACAACTTCGTGGCAAATTAATATACCCTGTTCAGGGTATAAATTCAAAACTTAAATTTTAACCACTATAAACGTGAAAAATGAAGTTATGCCGAAGGCTAGTAGTGTATCAAAAAGGAGTAACCCCATATTAATGCCAAACTAGTCCGTTACACTAATGGGATTATATCCCAACTATTTTCTTTGATGACAATAAATAGCAAATATTCAATTAATTGTCAATTTGCCAATCATAAAAAACAAGTATATAATATACAAAATATATCTATTAGATAAAGCAGACAACACAAAAAGGGCACATAATAGAACGAAGAGTTCGTGTCACTTAAATGCAAGACACAAAATTAAATATAAGAAAAAATATATCCAAGTGGAAATTATTGGCATGAGTTGACATTCGCTGACCTTTGGTCACCAAATATGAGCGACTTAATTGTGTAAATGGCGTACACGAGCAAAATCTATTAAATAAATAATTACATACAAATACGACTAGAATTAAAGGCATTTTAGAGTGTATTTAGTAAGCAATTAAGTGAAATGCAAATTCAAAGCGATAATTTTAAAATTAAAAAAATAAGAAATAACATACCTATAGAGTAATGTAGAAATATGGGGATATATGTTTAAAAGTCTATTTATGCAATTTAGAATGACAGCTGAAATTTTGAAAAATTTATAATAATGCTGCAATGCTTTTGAAAGGCTACAAATGCTATTTATATACTATTTACATTATATTCTTAATGAATCGTGAGCAAAAATATCTTGTGTTGTCTGCTTGCTGCCAAATCCCTAACTCAAACGACTTTCGATGACTGATAATACGCTGGTGTAAGCGTGTAACATATGTATAGTACGAGGGCGTCTTGAGTATTTAGTAAATTGTAAAATACATTTTTGTTTTCGTCGAAATGCGTTTTAACTCACGATGTGGCTTTTTCGAAGACAATTTTTGTAATAACTTTCTATTTATATACTTTTATTTTTCATTGGATATAATATAAATAATTTTTGGTTCGATAAGAGAGGGATTAGGAGGTTTTAACAATAACGGAGGCTCTTGTATGAAGACTTAGACGATGATGTATTAATGATTGTAGAAATATTGTATATATTTTTATATCAGATTTTAAATACTTTAACTCAAAAATTGTAATCGAAAATATTATAAATAAATTTTATGCAATTCTTACAAGAATGTAGGTTTTTTGTATGAACACTTAAAACTTACAGTGTTTCTTTTAATATCGATGATCAGTACTTCTATTGTCTCATGTTAATATTTTCGAAAATAATATGCAAAATAGATACTTTCAGCTACGATCGGAATCAAAATTTAGCTGTTGCAATATAGTTTATGTATTAGTAAGTTATATTGTACTTAGGATCTGAGATAAATATATTATTTTGTATTTATTCATGTAGTAAACGCCAGTAGTACGCCAATAATCCCCCCTGGCTAAAAAGCCACTGATTAATGCAACCAAAAAAGACAAAAGCCTCGCCCAGCTCTCAATCGTGTGAGATCGCGCAACCTTGTAGAGATTTTATGCTCCAGAGAGGAGTAACAAAGTAAATCTACTAATCTAATACTACTAATTGCTGAAAAACTGTTTTAAGGTTTATCTGTTGAAAATAATACCGTTAATCGAACCATCTGAAATTCGCTATCCAAACATATTACTATCAAACATTTTTCATCAAATTTGACTCGGACTGACAAAAATTGACATCAAACTTCATATGAAAATAAAAAAGATAGTACCAAATTAGGAAAAATATTTGCTTTGCGTGTGCTGTTTAAATCGGCGAGTCCGGATCAAATTTGAGCAGATGTTACTTAATTTTTTAGAAAATATCTGTTATTTAAAAGTTGTAGGTATAAATGCACCACACAATTCGTGATAAATTTTCTTTAGATTAATTTTCAATTACCAGCTGCGATAGCTCAATATTTAGAAGGCTATTGCACTCAAAGTTGCATGATAAATACACATTAAAAACCATATATTTATCTAACTTCCCTCGTTGTTAAATTTGCATTTCTATTAAATTGTTACTTTGTGCAATACTTTCGTTAAATATGTGTATTTAATTATTCTTGTTCCACCTAGTTGACTGCTTAGCTGCTGTGAATAACTCGCACCGAATTAAACACATGTACTCGTATGCTTATTTCGTATTGATTTTTTGATAGTGCATTATTTTTGTTAAATTAAATAATGCTTAATTTAAACTGACATATCTGCTATTAACTTGCCAGACACAACAAAATATATATTTATTTATGTAATAATTTTTGTGTGGGCATAAAGCACTATAAATAAATTAGTATTTTAAATAAAAATTTATTTCAAAGTTCAAGGGTTCTTGTGGACAATTTGTGGGTAATATCAAGTGAAATTAAGTTGTGTTTGTATTTAGAAACCTCTCAAGCTACGACAATATATAATAATAATGGTAACATGCCAGATAATTTTTCATATTTGTGCAGATTTAGTAGACTTTTTATGACTGTGATTTTCCATTCCCATTCGACTTCAACAGATCAGTGATAGATATTTCCACATTTGCTTTGAGAGATAGCTGAGAATAAGCAACTTATTTTATATACTGCTATATATTATAACCTAACCGACTGAAAGATGTTCCAATCTCGATCAAATTGTTGTTTGACAATTATACTTAGTTGTCATAAGTTATTAGAATTACGAGTGATTTATTGTAAATTTCGTTAAAAAAAATGCTGAGTTTTACACAGTTTTATGGCTAGGTAGATTGTGGTTCAAAACAATTTTTAATGGCAGAGCTTTAGTAAGAGATAAGCCCAAACCTAATAAAATTTTACTCGGAGTGATCCATTTAAACACCGCGCGAAAACCGAATCTACAACTTTTTTTTTGTAGCAAAATTCGTGTGAAGTTTGAAGTCCTAATTTCAATTAGTGTGTGCTTGGCAACAACGCCAAAAGCTTGTCTGGCGAGTTTTGCCATGGAAAAAATTTAATATAGAATTTACTTAACATTTCGTGTAATGGGAGTATATTTTATCATAAACATAAGTGTTTGAGTGGCGCAAAGCATGCAGTGACGGTCGTGAAGTCATCGAAAACTTGCCTCTCCTCTGTTAATTAAGATAACATCGAATGTTGAGAACAGAGGGATAGCAGAGGATTTCAACATCTCTTATAGATCGATGCAACACATTTTAGTTAGTGTTTTAGGCTTGAAGCGTGTCAATGTTAGCCTCGTACAAAAAAGTCATGGTGTAGAGGCCGCAAAAGAGACCAACCAAAATCTAGTGAACGGCGCTCCAAAAATGAGCCGAAACCGAAAAGGCACGTGAAAGTCGGTCAAAAATTAAGGTGATGCTCATCGTCTACTTTGATTACTGTGTTAAACGTTCAATAAGAAATACTACTTGGCTATTTTAAAGTTTCTATGTTAAGCCAATCGTCCTAAACGACTGTTTTCGTAGGCAAAAAATTCATGGATTTTTTACATCGATAATGTGTCGTCACATTCTAACACAATTATGACTGGCTCTTTGACCATACATGAACCGAGAATCATCGCTCAGCAAAATATGACTCGCTGTGACTTTGTTCTATTTTCGAAATTGAAAAATCTACTTCGGGGAATGCGTCATTAGTCCGTTGAAGGCATTAAAAGGCATTCGCTGAAGACACTGAAGGTCATCAGAGCCGAGAATTGTAATAAGTGTATGGAAAATTAAGCGTTGGCTTGCTCAGGAGCTTATTTTGAAGGCGAGGATAGAATTTGTTTTAAAATACGTGAAAATGTTTGGTTTTTTTTACCAGTCCGTGTCAAATTTTCATCAGGTTACCTTTTAAATAAACACTACCAGAAGCTCTGCTTATTTAAGAACATATATATATTTTTTTGTTTTCCATGCTTTTTTTAAATTAAGTTTGAAAGTCCATAAAATAAATTTTTTAGGTATTTTTTAGCTTACTTTTTATTTGTGCTGTGCTTGGCAGTATTCTGCACTGTCTAGATGAAACTCCATAGATGTAGGAACAGGTCTAACCAGCTGCAATGAACAGAAATAAAAAGAAAATACAATTATTGATAACAAAGTATATTAACAATTATTGGAAAAAGACAAATAAAATTTAATGACCTACTTAAATGCTAGATGGAGAGTGATATGGAACTTACAAAGAAGAGAAGTGTAGTCATGTAAATATATAGAGAGACACAGTTGGATAGGTAGAATTTGGCAGCAGTTTGAAATTAGGTTAATGGTTCAGCAAGAAAAATAAAAAAATAGTAGTAGAATTAAATAATAATTCAAAAGAATAAATAAAAATTGAGATTTTCACAATTAATTGAACTTTTAAACAGCATTAAGGTATGGACTTTGTTGTAAGTATAACAAATTGTGAATTTTCGTCAGTCAACGTCTGCTAATGAAATTTCACAGATCTTTATATGAGATGTGTTAAAAATATAACGAGAATTTTCGATTTTTTGATAATAAAAAAAAAAAACAATGTTTTTCTGAACACACCTTCAACTAGACACCATAATATAAATAATATTCGATGGCCGACTTATAATATATTGAGTAAGACCGAAATTAATATAAGGTTGTCAAATATCTCCCTTCCGCTTTTTTGCTCTTCATTCAATGCTTTATAAAAAGTGTTACAGTGATCGGATTTAGTTAAAATATGCGCCGTTTTGTTCGATGATCTGTTTCCATCTAGACGGCAACTTCATAATACCTTCCTCGTGGAAGCCCCCTCCTTATTTGCGAAGAATTCGGACAGCCACTTTTCACAAGCCTCTTCTGAGTTCAACTTCACACCACCAAGGGCATTCGCCATGGACAGGAACAGGTGGTAATCACTTGGCGCTACGTCCGGGATATATGGTGGATGCGATAAAACCTCCCATCCGAGCTCCCGTAGCTTCTGACGAGTCATCAACGAAGTGTATGGTCTGGCGTTGTCCTGATGGAACACTACACCCTTCCTGGGATTCTGGACGCTTCTGGTCGATCGCCTGCTTCAAGCGGTCCAGTTGTTCGCAGTAGATGGTAGAATTAAGCGTCTGGCCATATGGGAGCAGCTCATAGTGGATGATTCCCTTCCAATCCCACCAAACACACAGCAAAACCTTCCTGGCCGTCAATCCCGGCTTGGCCATTGTTTGGGACGATTCACCGGCCTTCGACCACGACCGTTTTCGCTTAATATTGTCGTATGTGATACGACCAGATACGAGCTCTGTAGCGCTTTGTACATAGCCGCGAAATTCAAAAGACAAAAAAGCGGAAGGGATATTTGACAACCTTATAACTAACAGAAACTGCCATTCGGTTTTTTTATTATGCAAATATACGACTTCTTAAATTTACGACAGCAGAAAAAAATTTCTATTTAGCTGACATAAAGACTGACCTTTAATTTATAGCGTAAAATCTAAATCAACATCGTAACATTAGTAATTGGATTACAAGCGACTGTATCATGAAAAAGCGATTAAAGTAATGCATACAGTTTAATAAAATTTTCTTTGAACTATTCTTTTCTAATTGTAAGCAGAAAAGCCGCTTATGATATCAATTGTAAATATCTTTGTGCGATTACAGTGGTTTCGGGCACAATAGACAATTGTTGTGTGATGGATAAGTTACTCTGCCATAGCTTTGTGGCATTTAATTGTATTAAATGGTATGTGGGTTAAACATTGTTAAAGATATGGCAATGCAATTACACAAATATAAAGATATATACATGTGGCCTTTTATTTATACAAAAAGTGATTGTTTGTAATTTGTTTATCGATGAATTCGGTAGACCACTTTAGTATACTATAGATATACGTATATGCTTTGTTTCATTAGTCGAAAGTATTATCCACAGGCATATAAGAATTTCATTGCTACAGTGCCTTTTGTTGATCTACAGTGCGTATACGCAATATATACATTTTCAACCAATTTAATATTTATTTTTTGGCTTTAATTTTTTTAATGAATTGTGTTGAAATCATTGAAATTAAATATTATTTCGCATTAAAAATATTTGATGCGGTGCTATATTTTATATATAATACATACATTATATCATACACGTACGGTGCGTATGAGTAACATTTTCATTTTGTGTCTCCTTTTAGTTTAAACTGTTGGGTAAGAAAAAAAAAAACGTTAACTTCGGTTGCACCGAAACAATCAACTGCTATGACGAGTCAAAGGTGGCAACAGCGTGACAGAAAGTGACTCAAAGTAAAGCCTTCACAAGTAGACAAATTTCAACTGTGTTATTTTCATTAGTTTCATACAAAAGGAGAAGATTTTAAAAGAAAATCACCACATCAACTCATCTGTAAGTAATGTCTGCTACTTCACATCTTCAGCCTTGCCACGCACCATTACTTTATCTATAAATGCTTAAGTACTTGTGAAATTTCACAATAAACAAGTGAAAACTGATTTATTAAAGGGCAGAGGAAAAATACACAAAAGTATATCAAAATGTATGTGTGTATATTAAGAAGCGTTAACAATCGGACTTACTGATTTAAATTAACCTCTATATAAAGGAAAAAATATACCCCTGCAAGGCAAAGCATTAATTTTCTTAAAATATCTACCTCAAGGGGATTTTTATGCCCTGAACAGGGTATATTATGTTTGTCACGAAATTTTTAATACCCAGAAAACAAAAAAAGGAGACACTCTAAACTATATATAGATATATAAATGATCAGCATGACGATCTGAGTCCATTTAGCCAAGTTCGCCTGTCCGTCCGTCTATATATACGAGAACTAGTTCCTCGGTTTTTGCGATATCGATCTGAAATTTTGCACACGTTCTTCTTTAATCAAAATTGTTCAGATTGGACCGCTATAGCATATCGCTTTTTGTTTTTGTATTTGTGAAGGTTATTCTAGCTTCGGTGCAAGTTAACGTTAAAGTCAATTCAAAAATTCGTATAAATAGAAGCTTTGAAAACGGAAAGAAATAGTTAATGCACCGAAAAAGGATGATTTAAACACAAAAATATCGCTGGAGCTATGATAGTACTTTTGAGCTAATTGAAATATTACCGGACTTTTTAAATATTGAGCTCGAACATTAGGCGAAAAATGAAAATATCAGAACTTTTTTCTTAACAAATTTAGATTATGAACTATTTAAAGTATATACTACATTTTTTAACTATTTTATTTTATTTGAAACTAGGCCTTTTTTGTCAAATATGAATATATTTGATAATATTTTGATATCTTTCACTTTTCAAAGCTTCTAAACATACGACTTTTTGAGTTAAAAAAAAAAATTCCTACGATGTAGTATTTTTTAGGAAATTGTATGCTCCACAAGAAACCGCTTTGGATATATTATTATCCTAAGCGGTTCGAAAGTGAAAGTGATTTTAATAAAAACGGGTTTTTGCGTGTTTTTTTAAAAAAAAAAGAAACTTAGAATGCTTCACAACACCTTTAAAAATTAAGCTAACAAAAATTCTTTGTAGGGATATTTTTTCTCTATATGTAGAAATATGGTAGGTTATTATTGGTACCACCCTCATGTATATATGTACATATGTTCATAAAAATTACAAGCAAAAACGCACAACAAAAATATCACGAAATTATCAGCTGCTTAACTGTATACTGACGTCTGCTGCCTTTAAAGAGTGATTAAGCGCCATAATATTGAAATTAAATAAAAAATAGACATGCATAAATATATATATTTTTAAATTTTTTACGCAAGTAAATACATATAGACGTGCAACAAAATTTCTACATTTATATATATATATATATATATATATGTACATATATACATAAATATATTTATATATACATATGGTATATACATAAATATGTGTATATGTATATATAGATGTGCGTCTGTTTAGATTTATATAGTGATATTGACGTCGTCATGAAAAATGTTGAGGAAGCAAAAGTGACACAACAAGTGCAATGCCCAGCTGCAAGAGTTATGCACACGCTGACCAATTGCATATACAAACAAACGTACATACATACAAACGTATGCACACATGTATAAATGCACCCGCCGTGCAATGTACAAAAATCGGTTTGTATTTATGTAAATATGGAAAGCAAACGCGCGTGTACGCTATCAAATTACCATAACGCCTGCTTATATGGCGTCTGCATAGTTGTATGAATGTATGTATGTACATATGTATATCGACAGTTGCATTTTTGGAAAGCTTGGCTGGCTACGCTTTAATGCAGTAGCTTTGCGGCACACATTTTTTATACATTTATGTCCATAAGTTGTTTATGAAGCGATCAAAGTCAGTATATAATAAAACTTGTATGTATAAAATTGTGTATATAAGTATATATTATCTATACATGTATATATATTTTTACATAACAATTACTGCTTCTTAGCTTCATCTATTTTATGCCATTATACTATATATATAATCTATAGATACTTTATTTATTATATTTTTAGTTCTATGACTTTCTATAGCGAAAATCGCTTTCTCACTTAATGATTTGCGCTTATATAGTTGCTAATAAACAAGTAAACAAACGAATATCAACTCAAGCAAAGATATGTATAAACACATTAGCAAATAACAGCGTCGTGATTATTTCATTAACTATTTTTAGTGAAGCCATGTGAACAGCGAAAATTAGCCGGAAAAAACTAGAAAGAAATATATGTACATATAAAAAATAACAAATTTTATTATTTTTCTTCGAAAATAACAGCATAACTACAAGTCACTAAGTACAAGTGTCTAGATTTCACCTAGTGAGGTTTTTGCTGTGAGGATATAATCTTATGAAGTTCAAATAGGCTATCAGCCTCCGCAGACAGCAATTAAGACTACTTTTAGCAGTCTACTAACAGAGGAATCACATGCATATGCATTTGGTTGACGGTAAACTGTCGGTATAGCGACCGTGCGGTGGAAACACCTCAACATATATTCCTTGAATACGCAGACTGAAAGAAGTTAGGCTTACTTAATGGGATTGAATGAGGTAATTTGAGTTAGAAGATGACACAATAGA